AAATGCATAGGAATTTTTTTATTTGGATCTTTATCCGAACTAAATAATCTAATTAATTACGAGCCAATTTATTTATATCAAATAATTAGATTGACTTATATTTATTGTTCAATTATTAAAAAATTAACAAGGTAAAGTAAAATATTTTGCACCTGTGACACCTGAGATCTCTTATGCCATATTACGTGACTATATTTTCATTCCATTTTGTATAAATTAGTTACATTTCTATAAGAACTTTTATTACATATGAAATTTTTCCATATATATTCGTATAAGAAAAAAAGTAAAATACTTTTATAAATTTCTTAAAAATTAAACTTGTATTATAATAATTATTTTTTTTACCAATTATTATATCTATATTTTAATCATATTTATTAGAGAAATTAAATAGTAAGTTATTATAAGTGATTTTTATGGAAAATATTAAAGTAATAATACTGTTATTAAAAATTAATAATATATTAAAAATAATAAAAATTAATATCTATCTTAATTTACGTAACCTTGGTTGTGAATGACATTATTCATCAATATAACTTATTTAAATATATTTATTAACCTACATATCTCATTTATTAATTAAAAGCATTATATAAATTTATGAGATTATAAGAATATAATAAAAAATGAATAATAAAAAAATGGTACAATAAATATTTCAAAAACTTAATTGACAATAAAATAAAAAAGTACTCAATAAATATATAATAAAAACTAAAAATAATTCAATAAATATTTTGAAAAATTCAATTCAATGAAAGTTCTTAGTTACCTCTTTCGGTTTCAAAATATATGAAATTTTAGATAAAAAAATTGTTTTTAAATATATAATGATGATAAAATTTAATATTATATTAATTATTTTTTTACTAATTATATCTCTATTTTTTTAATTATATGATGCGATAATATGTTACTTTTGATTACTAATAATAAGGATATTAATAAAAAATAATAAATTTAAAAAATAATAAAAATTAATATTTTTATTAATTTATATAAACTAACCTTAAATATAGTGTATTTTGAAAATGAAGAAAATAAAATATATAATAAAATACATGCAATATTGTGTTTATTATTATATATATTATATAAACAATTAAATTACCAACACAAGAAATGAAAAAGTTCATAAAATTTATAATTCTGACAAAGTATACAGCATTAAACTAATATTAATTTATGATGAAAGGTAATTGATAAATTATAATATTAGTATATTTTATTCAAAAAATAAATATTAGCAAGTGTTTTTTTTCTTAAAGCCTTTTCAATTTATATACTTCCATGTTATTAAAAATAAAAAGTTTGAATGTTTATATAAACTTCTTAACAGTTAAACTTATTATATATATATATATATATATATATATATATATATATATATATATATACTTTTTTTATAAGTGTTTATGAAAAAAAAAATAACAAATCATGTAAATACTAAGAAATAAAATACATTAATATGAATGGAAAGATATTTGAGGCAATAAATAGAAAATAAAATTTTTGACATGGGATCAACATTTTTCTCAAGAAGAGAAAATTATTTTTTATAAGCGATCAAATGAGAGAAGTAACAGGAGATGTCATGGCAAATGTTCTACACCTTTCTGGTTTTCGGAAGAGGAGACATTCCTCTTCAAGAATCATAACATATGGTTAGTATTTCCAAGAGGGATATGTTTCTCTTGGCGATAGAGTCATATCCAAGAACTTTTTTCTTGGTTCAAATCTTCTACTAGGAGAGAACAGAGGTTTGCAGGATCCTTCTCTGTAATCATCATCCTCATCGTCTGAGTCATCGCTATCCTCGTCACTGGTATCTCCAGTGTGGTTACAAAGTCACAATCGAAGTTACACATGTCTAGGTCTGCATCCCAGATGAAGTGTCCTCGTATCTTATCAGTGGAGATAAATTTGCCATCAGGGTGCACACTGGTAATGGGATCAAATCCCATTACCAGTGTCAACCAGAACTGAACAGAATGGTAATGACTATCCAAAAGAACGTCACTACGTTGACCATGGGTCAAATCCATCAGATGACCCTAGAAGCGATTGATAAGCTTTGCAGACAGCACGAGTTTTTTTTTTCTTAATATTATGACTCAAAAAAGTAAGTTCAATAAAGCTTGTCAAAAACCCTATCTTGAGATTAAATGCAAAAAACTTTATTCAAGCAACTCTAAGAAGAAAAGGCGGGAGAAGCCACCTACCCACAAGAAAAAGAAGAATTTTAAATTCTTCAAAAAGAAGAAGTTAAGGGGAAAATCACAAGCTTAAAGATGCTTTATCTGCAAAAAGAAAGCACACTTATCCAAGAACAGTCCCCACAAAGCTGAAAGAGCCATAAATCTCATCTCCACCCTCAAGTTTGATGACAATTATGATATAAAGTCTCTCTATTTAGAACAGAGTTCTGTAGATGAAGAAATCATCTTTGCTCTCATTATCTCCTTTGATGAGATAGAACTTGACTATTCCGATGCAGAATCAGAAACAGATACTGTTCCAGTATTTTCTTTTCAAGAGATCAACTATATCAACGTCTCTTCTCCTCAACCATACTTAGAAGCCCAACTTCTTACTTTGAAATATGAGAAAGCCATTAAAGTCATAACTTATCTTAACAGAGGAGCCCAGAAGTCTATGATGGATCCATGCATACTTCCCAAAGAATTTTGGAAGAAAGAAGCATCCTACTTTGTTGCAGCTGATGGAAAAATCTTCAAAATTGATCTGATCACCAAAGCTCCAGTTGAAATTAAATTCTTCCCAAAATGCATAGTCTGGTCTAAAGTGATTGAGAGCAAGCTTTCCAATAAAGATATATTAATAGGTATGTATATTTACTCTATGATTAATAAACTTCATATTCATCCTATAGGAATCAAGTTCAAGAGGGAATTCAAATCTTTCAAAGACATACCCAGACTATTCTCCCTCTTTGAAGCTCCTCCAAATTTGGAAGAAATAAAGAACAAATTAGTCACTCTACGCGCTAACAATCATGATGACTTTTTTCATCCAAAACCTCTATAGAAGAATCATGAGTTCTTCGTACAGTTACCCTTCAAGCTCAATGAAGATGTCAATCCTACAAAGGCTACCCATCCAGGAATGTCACCATCAGACCTACAATTAACCAGTCAAGAATGTGAGGAACTGTTGAAACAAGGTCTGATCGAACCAACTCAATCCAATTGGGTCTGTCAAGCCTTTTATGTGGAAAAAAGGTCTGAAAAAATCAGAGGAAAAAAAGTTTAGTCATTGATTTAAGCCTCTTAATCATTTTCTTAAGGATGATAAATTTTCAATCCCTAAAGCATCTTCCTTACCCACTCTGATAAAAGAATCCTATGTCTTTTCTAAGTTTAACCTCAAATTCGAATTCTGGAAATTAGGCATTGACCCATCTGATAGATATAATGTTTCTTTTTGTATACCCAATGTCCAATATCAATGGAAAGTAATGCCCTAAGATAACCACATCATTATTTCAAAAATCTATGACAAAAATCTTTGAATCCATACTAGACAAAACATAATTTACATTGATGATATCCTATTGTTCTCTCAAGACATGGACTTTCATAAACATTTCTTGGATCAATTTTTTGGAATAACCCATCAATAGGGGATTATGCTCTCAGAGAAGAAGATCCACTTGGACCAAAAGGAAATTGACTTATTGGGTATACATTTCTGTCAAGGCTCATATCAGCCTCAACTTCCCATTACTGGAACTTCTTAACTTTCCTGATGAAAATCTGACTGTCAAGCAAATCCAACAGTTCCTTGGGATAGGTAATTACATTAAGGAATTCATCCCCAAGGTTGTCAGATACACAAGTCTCTTATCCAAGTCATTAAGAAAGAATCCACCTCCATGGGGACCAGAGCAATCAAAGAACTGAACAAGGTAGTCCAGACTCTTCCAGCTCTAAAGATTCCAGACAATGGAAAAAAGATATTGTAGATTGATGTCATTTATGACTATTGGGGAATAATTCTCATTGAAGAAGACAACAGGAAAAGTTATTACTGTAGTCATACAAGTGGACAATTCAAGGATGCCGAGAAACATTACCACACTACTTCAAGGAAGTCTTAGCTGTCAAAAATGGGATAAAAAATTTTTGATTTTCATCTCAAAGGATATCATTTTGAAATACAGATGTACAACTATTCGTTCCCAAGGATCCTAGAGTTCAAAAACAAAATGTCTCATAATCCTCAGATTCTCCGACTAATAGACTGGTTTTCAAGATATGATTTTTCGATTATGCACATCAAAGAAAACCAAAATACAATTTCTAAATCCTAAACCTTAAATCAATTCAATCAATTTTTTGTTATCCTATATTATATAGAACAACAAAAATATATAAGTTCTTGTTAAAAAAAATAGTAAAAAATAATTTTAAAAAGAAAGGTGGTGTGTGAAGAAAAACATGAAGTGCGGAAAGATTGAACCTAAAAAATAAATCAATCAGACAAAAAATTTAATAAATATAAAGTTGGGCTCGTAATCGAAAGGAATTCAAAGAAGCAAGTTACTAAAGTGGCCCACGCCAAAACACATTCAAGAAAAAAATATGGGACAATCCCCTGAAGTTAAGAAATAAATAAGCTGTGAAGAGAATGAACCGATAATGAATTAATAAAGAAATAAAAACTATAACAAAAAATAGGCCAAGTATAAATAAAATAAAAAAAATACTTTTTTATCCTTACACAATTTAAAATAATTGAGTTAAATATATTTGTTTTTGTTTTATTTGTGAAAATAAAATTAAAAGAACTATTATAAATCTGAAAAAAGTAATGTGTGGTTGAAGAATAGTATAAATAAATATGTTTTATTGTAACTGAGGACGAAGTATTTACTAAAATTTGATATGAAAAGGAACATTATGATTCCTTATGTTTTTATGTGCAGTAACAAGAGTAACATTTTATTAATTGGCTAGTAGAAACTACTACCCTTAGCTTCTTCCAATTCTTAGAGATGAATCAACAGCACCTTTGTTGACAGAAGCAAAGATCCTAGCAATCTCTAACTGTGTGTTGGCAATTATTTCAGTTCTCTTCAGCTCCATCTCCCCTCTCTTGGCCTCAGCTTCAACTCTCATCCTCTCAATCTCCTTCACTGCCTCCATTCTTGCTTCCTCTGACCTAATCATGGCTTCTGCAAGCCATCTCAAGCTTTCTGCTATCTCCATATACTCTTTCCTCCTTCTCCCTGTGCTGTCATTTATGTTCTTCTTCCTCTTCTTACTTCTCAACTCCTCCTTGCAGTAAAGTGCAGGGGTGCTGCTATCTGTGTCCACGGGATTCTTGCTTGATACATTCTCATATGACTTTCTTCCTAACCCATCTTCCTGTTAATCATCAATCTATACATCAATCTATATGTTTATACAAAATCATTTTAGATTAGATCTGTTCAAACCATTTTCATTCCAAATATCTTTCCAGTGAAAAAGTGTGATACAAGAAAAAAAAAACAAGTGTTAGGTTCTTCTTTTGTTTCAAACTTTGAAGTTATCGAATTTTGTTGGAATAGTTTTAAACATGGAACACAGATAACGAAAGGAGTAGAGAAGAGTGACAAGAGTGGGTCCATATATACATTTTATGTTCAAATTAGTTTTCTTTCCCTAAAAGTTTCTTACCTCTTCTCCCTTTACATTCATGTCGTAACAGTTTTATTCTTAAAAATGCTTATCAATGGATTAAGGGTATATATAAATTTCTAATCGAGATTGTGAGAATTAATTTGTCCATTTTAAAATTTTCATCCTCATAATTTTATTTTTGAAAGATGTAATAAATTAAAAAAATGATATATATAAATTCATTTAACAAATATAATTTTAAAAAAACTATAGTATTTTATGATTAATTGATATTAAAAATTTTTATATTCATGATACATAGAAATTATACTTATAAATAATTATATTATACATATTTTACGCAGTACTAATTTCTCTAAAAAATTATAGAGCAATGGAAAAATTAATAAAGGGTGTCACCAAAATCTCATTGGTGTTCTTCTGTTTAAAAAATAAGTCACATTCATGCAACATCACTTCAATTAAATTAGTCATAATTCTACTATAAACCTCTCCAAAATATTACACCCCACAAATTAATATAATTCCATACTCCCTCCAATTATAAAGTATGATTAATATAATAAATAAAAATTATTATTTTTTAATTGGTAGCGTACAAAGTTTCACTATTATCATCAATTTTTTTAACAAAAAGTCTTCTCCATGTATAAGGTTAAGAAAATAAAATAAATTTATATACAGATTTAAAAATTACATGAAAAGATATCTTCACGTTAGAATATAAAATGTTTAGATAAGTTTATTTTTTAATACTTCTAGAATAAAAAATACGATTTTTTTTTCATAAATTAAAACTAAGTTACGTATAAATTAAAAAAAATGTAATAGAGATTTTCTATCAAATAACATAAGAAGAATTTTTCATTGTTTCATTGTTTTATTTTTAATTTTTCTCTTTAAAAATGTTTGTTTTCATGAAAAAAAAAAATCTAAACGTTTTTAAATGTATTTAAAATTTACCTTAACGAGCTTGTCAATGTCATCAACCCCATTCGATCCATGCGAGTTCTGCGCAATTGCAAGTGGCCCTGACGACGGTGGCGCCGGAGGAGGCGACTGTAGGGGCGGTTCCATCTGCGAGGGCTCCGCCGTGAGCACCGCCGGGAGGGGCGGGGAGGAGAGAAGCGGGCCTGTTCCCCTGAGAAGAAGATCGAGGCGCGAATAGAGAGGCCATGAGGAGGCATGATCTGAGGTTGCAGATTCTGATCGGTACCTCTTCTTCATGGACTCGACCTTGTTCTTGCACTGCGTGGAGGTTTTGGGTAACTTGGTGCAGTTGGCACGTGCGGACACGTGCCGCGCGACGTCATCCCAGTCATGGCCCTTGAGTTTGGCTCTGTTTCTGAGCACCCATTTGGCCTCGTAGGCCTCTAGAAGGGTTGACACTGCCCCTTCACTCCACTCATCTCTCTTCACTCTGTCTCCCCCTCCAAACCCCTTTGATCTCACTCCTCCACTCTCTTCCTTGATTGGGAGGAGGAGAGAATTTGAAGGGTGGTTGTTTTGGTCTAGCTTTTGCTTTTGCTTTTGCTTTTGGATTCGGTTGGATGTTTCTTCTTTCTCCTCCTCCATCTCTTGTTCCACTCCCATGTCCTAAAAGTCTATAACTTTTTATTTTTATTTTTATCCCACAACATGATCAACACTCTATTTGCAAAAGGGTAAGAGAAACCACTAGCAAGGGAATCATAAGGGTTAAAACACTGTCACCAAGTGCACAGGGAGGTTCCAAATTAGTCACTTTTGGTAGGTGGAAATTGCGATTTTGTCTTCTTAGGAAATTTAAATTGTAATTGGGTTTAATTAGGTGTGGTTTTGAATGATTCTTTTTGCTGTGAGAAATTAATTAATTGAACACATATATGATGTAAAAAAACTTATCCCAATTACAATTGTGACTTGATTACATAGCCTTTAAAAATCTTGATGTTGAGTTGAAATCACATTTATGAGTTGTAGAAATCTTCAATGATATAAAAAAATTACAAATAATCAAACCTTAGTATTGAGGTTGAAATGGTGGTAACCTTTGGTGGGAGGAAATGAGGGATAGTGGGGAATGGGCAAAGGGAGAAAAAGGAAACACTTTTGTCAAATGAATTGATGATGTTAACTTCTTAAATTTTTTTTTTTTTTTGGTTCTAACTTTGTGGGAGAAGTAGTGGTGTGTGATTGTTGCGGGTAATGGGAAATGTTGGGTTTTTATTTCTTGGGTTGAGTTGTTTGGCTGTTAGCGTTGACATGAAGCCAACCAAGACATGAATGAGTGATGGTAGCAAGAGTGGTGGTGGGTCAATCACGTGGGTCTGTCACCCTCACTCACTATATCCTCTTCACCCAATCTACAAGTTATTTATTCACACATTAGCAAATTTTAATAAATACTTTTCTTCTTTATCTTATTTTATTCATCTTGGTTTCTTTATTTTTTAGCCCTTTTATCTTTTAAATTTACATTAATATTTCAAAATAGTGATCAACGTTGAAAAAAAAAAACGAAAAACTAGTCATAAATGACAATAATGTGTTTGATATACAACTAATATTTAGTCATAACTTCTGTACTATAAAGAGTATCTCGCAAAGGCTTGATCCCATCACCACCGGCCAATGTGCAACCTTCACTAAAAAATGAGAAGCTTTAATATTTTTTCTTTCCCTTCAATGTCCTTTCTTCTCTTTGTCTCTCTCACGTATACAATACAATGCTTTTATGCTCCTTTAATGTGTCTTTTAAAAGGGTTTTTTGGTGAGCCACTAGACTTAAAGTCACTCCTAATGGTGGTGAGGAATCATAGTAGGCCACATCAACAAAACACAAGTAATCCAATTCTCAATGGTCCACAAACCTAAGCCATTGGATTGGTTCTTGCAACATATTATTTCTCCCCATGTATCTTTCTAGGGTTTTTTATTAGGAGGGTTAAGGATACGTCTTTTGCATCATCAAAACAAATCAGATATTATCTCTTTTCCTTTTATAAGTCAGTCGAATACATTGACTTTGGGTGTTTGGTATCCTTCATATTCTATGCTTTTGAGCCATTGAAAGAAAACAAACAAAGATTTTCAAAATTCTTTTTTTTTTTTTTTTTAACAAATATTAGTACAAAGAGAGATGACAATCTATGTTCAAAACTGAATCTTAAACTGACGCAGTCATTTCAGCTTTATAATAATTTTTGAGATCAAGTGTTTAATGTAAAGTTTCACTCAATTCAAAATAGATAAATGGATGAGTTTGCTTCTGCTTATTTTATAAAAACTTTTTTTTAATAAAAAAAGGATATTATATATCCCTAATGATCTCATTTAAAAAACATTTCAGAAACACTTATTTTAAGTTTAATCATACTCACCTAATATTTATAATTTATATCTTACACAATAACAGTTACTCTTGCACCTTGTTAATTAATCCCAATTACCAACTATTTTACTTTAATCAATCAAAAACTTAGTTTTTTTTTCTAAATATTGAAAGGAAACTTATTATAACTTATTTTGATTGCTCTAACAATGCTTTCTATCTTTATCTCTTTTCTTTCATATTTTATACATTGTATCTCTACCTGAACATAATCGGATGTTCATATATCTCAGTTTAATTTACTTTCATTAATTTATGATTTAAAAAAAAACTTGCGTTACAACCCAACATGTAAAACACAAATCATATTTTTTATTATTTTCATAATGTTTAATTTTTAATTATCTGAATATATATTTATAGAAGACAAGATTATGAAAATATTGAAAACTGTCAAATTGTAAAGTTGGGTAAAAATAAATAAGAAAGCGCTAGAAGGAGGGCTTGAACCTCCGACCTTGTGGTTAACAGCCACACGCTCTAACCAACTGAGCTATTCCAGCTTGATATTTACATTAATCTTTCAAATATATAATAACGATTTTATTTCTAGGACTTCCTAATTCAAGGGCTTCTAAGGAATTAAAAAGTTACTCAAATTTCAAATACTAAAAATAGAATTGAAGTTTTTTCAACAAGGCTATATTTTAAAAAAGTCAATGATATTTTTTTTATCTTTACCATAATTACTATCAAATTTTAGTTTATGAATAATTTTATTTTTGAATTAATTTTCAATTATATTTTACAATCAAAATATTCTATTATACTTTCTTATAGGTAAAATTGATAAATATTTACTGGATATTATAATAATTTAATTTAAAGTAAGTTTTAGATTAAGAAATAAATTTAAAATTTTGGGAAATTAAAATTATATATATTCTATGAGGTTAAATTTTAAATTTAGCCCCTTTGTAAATATTCCTTTGCATTAAATTAAGGATAGATTACTAAAAAAGACGAAACCTCAAATATTTATTCCCTTTAATCGCAACCAGTTATTAATTTTACTTTTATAAATCGTTTTTCAAGAGTTAAAACATAATAAGATTTGGAATTTAAAAAAAAATTATTTTTGTTTTTATTATACTATTTTTGTATCTTATAAATTCATTTTCATAATATTTTAAATAGAAAACGAGTTGTAAAAAAATTATAAATAGTTTATTTATTATACCTTATTTAATTTATAAAATATATTATTTAAATAAAAAACAATTGATTTTTTATTTAAAAAAAATAAAAGTTAAAAATAATAATAAAATAAACTTTATAGTGTTTGTTTGTAAAATAAATAAAATTTAGTAATAAATGGCTTTAGCAGAAAGGAAATAGAACAAGGGAAGGGGTGAGCTTAGCAAGTGAAAAGGGGCGAGTAGGAATCTGAAAAACCTCGTTATTGCTTCTCAAAACTGAAACTTCATTTTCTTCATCTTTTATCATCCTAATTATTATTTATCCCGTATGGTTTGTTGTGGACCATGTATTTTTCACTTAAGATAATATCTTTCAGCTCTCTTTCCTTCAACCTTTGCCGTCAACCACAATTCATATTCGTCGGAGGCCATTCCGGCAGCGATATTAATATTTTAATAACAAAATTCATTTAAGGATGTTTGGATTAAATTGAATTGATTCAAAAGTAACTTCTATGGAATTAGTCTTTACCTAATTTGAGATTCTATGAAAGTTTTACGTGATGTACTTTATGGGATTAATCATACCTAAAATATATGGGCAAAAGAATTGGTCTTGCAAGCTTTCTATGTGATTACTTTTTTTCATTTAGAAAAAGAGAAGATAATAACAAGATGCACTTAGGCGTATGTTAAATTGGTAAAATAGAAAGGTAGAGAGGGGTTTATATAGTAGGGTTTTAAAATAAAATTGAAAAGGATAATGAGTATTAAAATAAATGAAGGATATTGGTATTTAAAAATCATCTGTAAAGAGTTTGTTCAAGTTTTATAAAGATTTTATGAAGAAAATAAATTTAAATGGGCTTTCAAATGACATTAGATGGAGAAACAAAAATAAAAACTTTATCAATGACCCAAACAAGAACTTTTCTTTTATCAACATACATGAAATCTACAAATTTAACAGGGACTTATTTAAGACAAAAGTAAAACTAAACATCTCTGTTTTTTATAGTATCAAACACAATATTTGAAAATTAATTTGAGCGTTTACCAAAAGTTTACAGAAATGTTACGATTACACAACCACCGTAGTTGGAACTAACCAAAAATAAAAATGGAAAGGTCAAAATGTAATAATTTATAGAAGTTCGCGAGTTTGAATTCAGATGGTTATTCCTTCTTCACATTTGCCTTTGAAAGCAAAAATGATACATCTCGCCATGAAGTACTTGTACAGAAAAGGTTTACGAAGTCACTTCTCATTCAAGTGACTGTTTAGGTGCAACATAAATATTTAAACTTAGAAGATTCATAGGATCAACGTTAGAATGTTGTGGAAGTCACCAGCAATAATATTCAAATAATTTTATATTAACTATTGGTTAATCTTCCTCTGTCAATAAACATAATTCTTTAAAACGATATTGAATTCTGCTATTAGGATTAACAACATCACTCAGGTGCAGCAAGCAACAACAAATTATTAAAAATGCCTGACCAATGTGAACGAAAAACAAGTGCTTGTATGTCTGTAATAAGTCAGGTGAGATTCAGTTCCCCCTCATGGCTTTTAGAATTTTTGAAAATTATAAAAGAAAAAAAAAACGCCACTACAGTAGAATAAAAGAATTTGAAGTCCAGAATGAAACGCAGATTGAGTGAATCACGCTGCACGTTAAAATAGACTGGTGCTGATGTAAGTACACAGAACTTGCTTAATAAACTTTTAATCTAACCAACATACATATGGACTATATATTCTAACAGAATCAAACATTTCTTACATAAGTCATAGAAGATCATAACTAAGATGGTCTTCCCATATTCAAAGATTCACTTTAATTTTCAATAGGACTCTAATCCATTAAAAAAGAGACTCCATCTACTTCATGAACGGAGATGCATGTGTATTAGTTTGCAGAATCTAAAATCATACACAAAATTCTTCAAATGTAGATACATATATAGTTTCAGTTCTCTAGACCAATTCCATTTGTTTTTCTATCACAGAATGCACTTAACATACAACATCAAAGCCAGGAGTGAAGAGGAACATAATAAACATAAAAGGGTATAAACACATACAACATGTGATGCAAATGGCGAATGAATCTATAAACAGGACAATGACAACAACTAGGGCTGCGATACAGACCAACCTCCATTTTTGGCTTCTATTACCACTGGAAACAAAGCTACACTGTTTCACCAACAACAAATTGATCAGATCCACTCAGCAGCAAAATAAATCACCTTACAGCATGCACATGACTGGAAACAATTGCATCTAAATTATCAGAGATAGAACCAAAGTCACTGTATTTACCAACAAGTTTTCCAAGCAAGTGTAGTTGACCGATTTACTTTGAGATGTCCTCAGTCTTTACACGTCATACGCGAACTTCATTAATCAAGTTTAACACATTACCAGACCATTTAAAGCTAAGAAATCAAAGCCAATGAAAAAACAAAAGTAAAATCCTCAGCAGAAGAATTAAATAACCTGAAAGCTGTTACTCACTAATCAATACCGTAAGAATGTACAACGCATCATGATATTGTTCATATCATAACATATAATGAATAGAATATCATAAAAAAAGAAGAACTTATCACCTAATTTGTACACCAAATCTGCAAGTCCAAACCCTAAATCGACCGGGTTTCACTCTGCTCAGGAAATCCCCACATCCTTGCATTCACGCATTCAGCTGATGAGAACCACTGGATGAATATCCTATTAGCTTATATTTCTCTCAATATATACACCAACAAACTTAGATACAAAAATCTTTAAATGCTATTATAGGCGATGTTCTCATATCAGAATTGAAGATTTACCTTGGTAAGATGCATTATATAGATTCTCGTTACATGTCAACATAGATTACCGAAGCAAATTCTAATTCTGATTGAAAAACATCGCCAAAAATCACATAAGTAACTGCATCTAAATTTTATCCTGAACATGTATCCAAAAGTGAAGCATCTTATCTTCATCCATTGGTTCCAATTCATGAATGCGTGAAGAATGCGTAAATACAGAAATCCATTTCCGGTCTACAAAGAACAAAAAGAATCATAAAATTGCATCAGCACAAGAATCACCAACTCAATCCGAATCATGATTCTTAGACGAACCAAACGAAGAACAGTTATCACTACTCAACACAATATTGCCAATGCCATTGCTCTCACCGAGCAAGACCTTCAACAATTCCGCCGCCTTAGTCCTCCCCTTGCCGCTGCCCCCGTCCCTAACGTCCTTAATTCCGTCCAGGGCTCCAAACGCCACAGCCTCGCGCACGTCGGCGGCGACATTTTCCCCGCCGCAGCGCACCAGATTGAGGAGGGCCGAGACGGCGTTCTCCTTGGTGCGCATGCTGGCGGCGGTGGCGAGGTCGAGCAGGTCGGCGAGCACGCCAAGTCCGCCTGAGGCTTTACGGAAGGCCTCAGCGGCCTCCTCACATCCCGCAACCTGCGCAATTACCGCCGTGGCGTCCTCCACGATGCCGACCCTACCGTCCTTGACGACGAGCGCAAAAAGCGCGGGAACGACGCCGAGGCCAATCATCGTGGCGCGGTTGAGCGGGTGGAGTGCGATAGCGAAGAGCGCCTTGAGCGCGTCCTTGATCGTGCGCGGAGGCGAGGACACGTGGCAGCGAAGGATGTCGACGAGCGAGTACACGATCTCGCGCTTGGCGCCGACGACGGGACGGTAGGCATCGACAGAGGAGAGAAGACTGTGGATGGCGGCGGCAGCGGACTGAACGGCGGCGGGAGAAGAGGTCGTGCCGTGGTGCGAGATCACGTGCGCGATCGCGTCGAGGACGCCACGTGTCGACATGAGAGGCTCCTTCTCTGTGATGGAGAGATTGAGGAGTGTGGCCGCTGCGTTCTCTTGGGAAGTGTGAGAGGAAGAGTAGAGGGTTTCGGCAATATAAGGGATTGCGCCAGCTTCAGCGATTACGGGTCGGGTTTGCGGGTCCTGCTTCGACATGAGGCGAAGCTGGCAGAGGGCGTCGACGCGGGCGGGTTCGGAGACTGAGCTGAGCTTCGCGACTAGGTTGCGGATGGTGCGGCGCTGAGGTTCCATTATGCTTCGGATGGAGGTTTGGGGGAGATGGAAAATGAAAAGGAGAAGAGAAAAAGCGCGTGGGAGGGGTTTGGGAGAAATATAAGTAAGGGCGTGTTTGGTTGGGTGGAGGCGTGAGGGAGTAGGACTCGGAGGAGATTATTGGGTCGTGGCGGTTTCGCGCGGTGTTGACTGGTTGCGATTGTGACATGGGCAGGTGGATAATTTTATTTTGGGTGTCCAGAAAGGATGGTTGATTTAAATTTTGATTTGATTCCTTTCATACCGATTTGTTTGATAGGGTTTGGAGAACGGTTTTTCACTCAGCATATACCCATTATTCTATGAAAACCAAATGAGGATCACAAGCGTATATTTTTTAATATGTTTTTTGAGAGCATTTTTTTTTTCCACTTTTTTGTACGTAAATTCCGTTCATACAAACTTTTTTTTTCTTCTGTAAATTCCTTTCACAGTAAAAAAAATTCCTTTCATATTGACTTGTTTCTGTTATTTATTTGAAAAATAAGATTTAAACCTTTAGGGATTTTTTTTCATAAATAATACTATTTTCAGAAATATTTCTCAAAATAATACATCTGGAACATTATTTACACAACTAACACTCTTTACTGTTCACGTATTAAAATAATCGATTATTTTATATTATGATCGATTATTTCGCACAATCAACTCTCGCTCAAGCGAAGAAACCCCTCGCTTGAGCGAGAAAATCTTTAACAAATGGGTAATCTCGGGTCAATTCTCGTTCAAGCGAACTTTTCGCTTGAGCGAGAAGTGATTAAAATATGTGGTGACCCAAGTTGCGTTATGTGCTTAACTGCGTTGGACGTTTAGCCTATGGTCAATTCTTGCTCAAGCGATGAGTTACTTCGCTCGAGCGAGAATTGATTGGGTAACTGCGTTGGACCGTGGTCAATTCTCGCTCAAGCGAGACATCCATCGTTTGAGCGAAGAAATTTATAATCGATTATAATTTGAACTAATCGAATATAATTTTAAAATAATCGAATATACAAAATTATGATCGATTATTTCTCTCTCGCTCAAGCGAAGAAACTCACTACAACAGAAAACACATGTAATAGCGGTTCCACATGTTCTATAATAGCGGTTAAAAATGGTTAACGTGGAACCACTATAATATATTTGTCACTTTTAAGAGCGGTTAGAGTGGAATCGCTATCATATATGTGTCACTTTTAAGAGCGGTTAATATTTTAACCGCTCTTAAAAGTGAACATATAATAGCGGTTCCACATTAACCGCTATCTTAAATATACTTTTAATAGCGGTTAGTTCTAGAACCGCTATCTAAAATCTCGGGTCAATTCTCGCTCAAGCGACGAGTACTTTCGCTTGAGCGAGAAGTGATTGAAATATGTGGTGACCCAAGTTGCATTATGTGGCTAACTGCGTTGGACGTTTAGCCTTTGGTCAATTCTCGCTCAAGCGAGAAACCCATCGCTTGAGCAAGGAAACCTACAACTATTTACAGGTTGAGTGAGACTACAAGGATTGGTGGCACAATTGGGTACTTGCCCCCTGAGAGCTTCCAGAGAAGGAGCATTGCTACCTCAAAATATGATGTTTTCAGCTTTGGAATAGTTGTGTTGGAGGTTGTGGCTGGCAGGAGGGCCATTGATCTCACATACCCTGATGAGAAAATCATCTTGCTTGATTGGGTCAGAAGGCTTAGTGATGAAGCTAGGCTTGTTGATGCTAGGGACACAAGGCTGATAGACGGTTCCTATAAGGTTTTTGACATGGAGCAATTGATTCACATAAGCCTCTTGTGCACACGCCATGACCCTCAATTGAGGCCAAGCATGAAATGAATTGTTGAAGCACTTTCTGACATATCAAACAACTTGCCAATGCTCCCTTCATTTCACTCCCATCCTATGTACATATCTTTGTCCTCCTCATCTGAGACTAGTCCAAGCAGCTCAAAAGGCACTGGCTCAGGCACAAGAACAAAAAGTTCTACCAATCTTACTAGTTTCAATTCCAAATATGTCACAGCCGCAGGAGATACTATATATGTAACTGCTGAAGCGGCACACAGAGACAGTGGAACTAACTCTTCAAAGAATAGGAAAAAAAGGATGCATCAGCAGCCATCATTTTCATTGGTTGAAACACCTAGGGAGATACCATTCAAGGAGATAGTTTTGGCCACAGATAACTTCTCAGAGTCCAGAAGGGTGGCTGAGTTAGACTTTGGAACTGCTTACCATGATATCCTAGATGGCCACTACCATGTCATGGTGAAACGCCTTGGCTTGAAGACATGCCCAACATTGCAGCAAAGATTTTCCAATGAGCTAAGAAACCTGGCAAAACTGCGGCACAAGAATTTGGTGCAGCTTAGAGGGTGGTGCATTGAGCAAGGAGAGATGCTTGTGGTGTATGATTACTCGGCTAAAAGATTTCTCAGTCACCGACTTCACCATCATAACAATAGTACTAAAAATGTTCATTCTGTGCTCAAATGGCATCATAGGTATAGCATAGCGAAATCACTTGCGTCTGCACTTCTCTATCTGCACGACGAATGGGATGAACAAGTCATTCACAGGAACATAACCTCTTCAGCAGTGACTCTTGAACCTGACATGAGCCCAAGGCTAGGTAGTTTTGCTCTGGCCGAGTTTCTGTCAAGGAATGAGCATGGCTATCATGTGATCTAAATAATCGCTCGAGCGAAGTAACTCATCGCTTGAGCGATAATTGACCACAGACTAAACGTCCAACGCAGTTAGCCATATAACGCAACTTGAGTCACCACATATTTTAATCACTTCTCGCTCAAGCGAAAATACCCGTTGCTTGAGCGAGAATTGACCGGAGATTACCCCTTTGTTACAGATTTCCTCGCTCAAGCGAAGAGTTTCTTCGCTTGAGCGAGAATTGACCCGAGATTACCCCTTTGTTACAGATTTCCCCACTCAAGCGAGGGGTTTCTTCGCTTGAGTGAGAGTTGATTGCGTGAAATAATCGATCATAATATAAAATAATTGATTATTTTAATACGTGAACAGTAAAGAGTGTTAGTTGTGTAAATAATGTTCCAAATGTGCTATTTTGGGAAATATTTTTAAAAATAGTATTATTTATGAAAAAAAGTCCCCTTTAAGAGCGTTTTTCTCTTAACAAATTTCTTTCATACACATTTTATTTATTTGTCGTAACCAGAACTCTTTCCAGTACTTTAACCCGGACTCTTAAAAAATAACTATTTATTTAAATATTAATTTTTTTACTCAGATTACAACTTAATGAATTACTTGAATATATAATATTGTTATTAATCATAAACCAGATTAATTGTATTAACTTGAAAAAAATGTGTATAATCAAATTAAACTGGTGTAATTTTGATAAATCATTATACCATCACTACATTTATATCATTATGAATATTTATGTTAAAGTTTATCAACATAGAATTATAAAAAAATATACATAAAAAATTATCATATTTATTATATAAATGACTTGGATAAGCTTTGACAATGAGTCGAGAAAATGAAATAAAATATAAAGCATAAAATTATACGCAAATTTTTGGTATATTATACAAGTGATAATTGTTATACCTATGTATGTTTTGGGTGGTTATCTCGTAATTTAGTAGTTATCTTGTAATTTATGTAAAGTGATCAATTTTGCAGACATTTATTATTTGTCAATTTTACGAATTTATTGGGTGCGGTCTGTTATTGTCGGTGTTCTATAAATACCACACATGCTTTATGTTTCAAGGTCACCAAATTTATTCCCTGTATATCGTAACATCTGTGTAAGAGAATTAAGGTTAGTAAATATTTGTATGCTTCTACTATATTATATTTTTCATTTGGTATCTGTTTCTGGTGGAATTTCGATCGATTTCGATTTTAAACAGTGTTATAGTCCTAATCGAAATCCTCCCACGTAAGTTCTTTTTACTTAGGCTAGCAGTCTGACTTTCAATCGAAAACGTGTATGAGAATCGAAAGTTACAGCCTATAAAAATGCTATTTTTTAGTATTTTATATTTAGACTACCGAAAGCAGTAAAGTATCGAATCGAGAAACGTAACATTAAATTGCGAGGAAATATAAAGTGCGAAAACCCCAAACTTGCATTAATTGTAAATGACAAGAAATCGAAATTGCAGGAAAAGTAAATGACAGGGAAACTTAAATGCAGAAACTTAAACTTTCATTGAATTGAAATGACTAAGAATCGAGAATACAGAAATATAAAATTGCTGAAACATAAATTACCAAGGAAAATACAGAAAGCGGTAAATGTACTCAGTGAGCAAGGAAATCCAGATTGCCAGAAGCTTCATGGTGTTCGTCGTTTCTCCGATAGACTTTTCACTACTGATTCTGTTCTCTGCCAATTTCTGCCCCTTGTTCCTTCCTCCTTTGCACTATTTATAGGGCATCATTCAAACCTTCCAGGAGCAGTTAACAAAAACTGCTACCACGTTCTTCGTGCGCGTTGCAGTTTCTTCTTCTGTGGTGTCAAAACTGCACCCACGTTCCCATGATCTTCAACTTCTGCCACGACTTAGAAACTGTTTCCTATATGCGTGTTTAACTCCTCTTTATGATCTGGCCACGATTTCGATTTTACGCGGGTTAACCTTTCTTTCGATTTAGACTTCGATTTTATCGAGAACTTCGGATTTACTTTTGATTCCTTTTTACCTTAGCATCATATACTTCTAATTTCTTGGTTTGTTCCACAATAAACTTTTGACTATTATTTCTCCGATTCCAACTCTAACTTTCGATTTTATGTGCCATGCCATTCTAATTGGACATCGAATGGTTCCTCATCTACCTTTTCGTTTTACCGATCAGTCACATGTTTCTCGATTTTTCTTTCCTTCATTTTTTCGATCGCTTTTCTCGATTTCCTACTAACAGTATCATAGCATAATTTTGTCTTTGTCTTGTTTTGGATTTGCTTATTTTAAAAACGTACATTTCGTTTTAAAATTCGTATATTAATACGTGGAAATCGAATTTTTTTTATTTTTAGAAAAATGATATATTTATATATGGTATGCTGGAGCGAACATTTAATTGTGAAGTCGAAAATCTGTAGTGAGATTTAGATATTTATTGGAGGTTTTCAAGGTACATTTAGAGAAAAACAAATTGAATTTAAAATTAGTAGGATGTTGAGAATGCACATTTACCATGGATGAATAAGTAACCACTAAACCATAGAATTTTTATGTATTATTGTAAATTGATTATTTATATATTTTAATATATGTTTTAAAATATATTTATACATTATTATTTATTTATTTGCATTATAAATATTATTAAATGCAAATATTTGATTATCTTAATGTTGAGTGGTAGATATAATTTTAATAAATTAAAAACTAGTCACAACATCTTTAATTTATTAATATTTACAATCATATTGTAAACATTAATTGTAATTAATTATTTGTAATGTAATAAAATATACTTACAAGAATTTTTCTTATATTTATGTGATTGAGTAGAATAAAATACTATATTATATTTCTTAATTTACCCATAGAAGTTAAGAAAAGTAACATGATATGATAGTTTTGTCATAAATTTACGACTCTAAATTAATTAGAAGCCCACATGCAAATTTTATGTCATTAGATTCATTAATTAAGACATGTCTTATGTTGATAAGACATGACATTCATTATAATATCAAATTTTGATAATAAACATGTATTTTAAATTTTGCATTTTTCGCAACCTATGAGCTTTTTTTATATCAGGTGTAGTATTCCTAGATTAAGAGATAACAATTATAAAATTTGGAAGGAGAAAGTTTTTCTTCATTTAGGCTGGATGAACATTGATTATGCTATTAGGAAACCTAAACCACCGACTATTATTGAGACCAACACTTCACATGTTGTTGATCTTTATGAAAAGTGGGAGATGTCAAATCGTCTCTCTAACTTTTATAAAGACCAACATTTCTACTAGAATCTGGGGTTCTGTTGAATAGTATGACAATATGAAAGATTTACTAAAGGTCATTGATGAACAATTTACTACATCAAATAAATCTCTTGTCAACACTCTTATAATGCAATTTTCATTTTTAAAGCTCACCGAGATTAAGGGAGTGCATGATCATATCATGCACATAAGGGACATCGTGACTCAACTAAAAGTCCTGGAGGTTACTGATCGAAGCTGTACTCAACCAAATAAGTTCAACAATTAAAATATGTAGTACTAGGAAGTGACTCCTAGGTCGTCTCCCAACCAACTATAGATCAAATCAATTTTCTTACACGAGTATGCAAATTAAACAACAGAAAAATAATAAAAGGGGTTTTTGCGTAATAATAATCAGTAAATTAACGAGAATAGAATTTGAATAAAACAATGAGAAAACAATTGATTTCCTTATTCGAATGCAATGTCACTTATCCTAGGTTACGAATTTAATTTACTTTAACCCTTATTCCAACCCGAAATTAACCAACTAAGCAAAGATTAACCCAAATTATCCTTATACAATTAAGCATTGCATACATCACATAATATCATCTATAACACAGAATTAAGTAAATTGTGATATTGATTTCGGTTTATTAAGCATAAACAGATTATAATTCAACACTGAGATTAAAAGATGAAGAGTTAAGAGAACAAACGAAGTAGAAGAACAAAACCTCAAAGATCTACTGCATTCTCCTCAGAAAATCAATATAAAGATTTAGCTATCCATAAAAAATCGAAAACAAAGAAGAAGAGACATATGCAGGGTAGATTCCGTAGTGAATTTTTGACTTCAATTTTGGCCACCTTCCGGTTGGAATTTAACAATGCTCATGAGAGAGATAAGTGTAGTCTTGCCTCTTAGCTTTATAACACACTTTGAATCACCCAATTTTGAGTGTCTAGCTCCAAATATGTCCTTCTCACTGGGCAAAGGTCGGCTGCGCATTTTTCCTCGGTGTCTTTGATGTGTGGCTGCCTCTCCTTTATATAGATAACCCTAACCCTAATCTTAATCTAGGTTTGCATCCAACTGACCCACAAAACACATCATAAAAATAAAAATAAAAAAACTAATTCTAATGGACAGTTGGCATGACATCTGACCCAATTTTCCAAGCCCAAAATTGTTTTAAACTGTCCTAAAAATAATAATGAACAAAAATTAGATCAAATAGATCCAAATTAATTAAAATATGAATTATTGGCCTAATGAAACCCAATTAATAAAAATTCACTAATAACAAAAAGTTAAGCCCAAAACACTAATTAAAATAAGTATAGAAAGGTAAGAAAATATGAGAATATAATGACTCATCAAATAATCCCACACTTAGCCTTTTGCACTCCTAGGCAAAATTAAGAAGCAAAGCAAGGAAATAAATCCAAAAACATTAAAGAATATGCAAAGGATATAAACAAAAACAAAGACAAAAACAACGATAAACATAAACATAAACATAAACATAATTACATATTCCTTAATGAAACCTGGGAAACAAAAGGAATAAACAACCTCCAACACTCAAAGAATCAAAGAAACCAGACATCTATGGATATCATCCAAACAATTCAAAACATGTCAAGAAAATCAATCTGCTCAAGAGGTGAATGAAAAGGAACAGAACCTCACAAGATATGCATTGTATCACTCAAGTGTTTAGGCTACTATTTAC